GACCAGCCTGGGCTACAAAAGAACAGGGAAGTGGAGGAGGGGGAGGAGGGAGAAGGGAGGGAGAGAGGGGAGGGGGAGGGGGAGGGGAGGGAAAAAAGAAAACTATGCAGCAGGGGCAAAAGAGGCCCTCGGTGTCCCCTCAGCGGGTCCATTTGTGCGACTAGCTCCAGGATCCCAGAGACTGCTAGTCTCTGCTGGCTCTGGGCTGGGAAGGGGCCAGGGAGATGGCTCAGTAGAATAAATGCTTGCCTGGCAAGTGCAAGGGCCTGAGTTCAATCTTCTCCAGTTCTGGAAAAGGAAAGAAAGCAAAGCAAAGCAAAGCGAAGCAAAGCGAAGCGAAGCAAAGCAAAACAACATGTGGGAAGGGTGACAGTGGAAATACTCAGCATTAGGTTTAAGTGCCTGCTCTGAGCTGCTTAGAGAGACCCTGTACCTAATAAAGAAATAAAATATTTTTTAAAATTTAAAATGCTTTTACATGTCCTAATCAGGTACAAAGGGGGTGGAAATAGCCACCTTAGTCAATTTTCCGTGTGAATTAGACGGGAAGTGGCCAAGTCATTAGCTGATGACTCAGAGGAAATCACTGATCCTCTCCCAACCGATGCTGTTCTTTGTGAAAAGCATGTGAATGATCCCGGCCTCACCCGGCTACTGTGAAGGTGAGTGAAATACTGTGTACCAGCCTTCAGACCAACAAAATGCCTGTAAATGCTCTGTTTTATTAATAGTACAAGTAGGGCTGGGGAAATAGCTCAGTAGAATAAGTGCTTTCCTGGTAAGCACAGGATCCTGAGTTCAATCCCCAGTACCACAAAAAAGAATTAATAGTACAAGTAGCCATGTCGTCAACGTATTGGTTGTTTTTTGTTTTTTTGAGACAGGGTTTCACTATGTAGTCCAGGTTGGTCTCCAACTCACTGAGATTCTCCAGCCTTGGCCTTCCCAGTGCTGGAATTACAAGCCTGCACCACCATGCCCAGCAATATTTATTGATGATATTGTTTCTTTATTTAGTT